TACAGGTATAAAATTTCTGCACATGTTTACAAATGCCAAGTCAAATCATATGGTATTTTTAAGAAGGACAAATAAAAACACATCAGTCCATACCCAATAAGTGCTTAGTATGCTTCTTAATCCTTGGTACACTTAACATTACTATTTTTAGTTTAAAATAAGAATAGTTCTCTAATCTTTAACATATTCTGATTCAAAATCTAGTCAGGGTGAGGCTTGAAGAACAAAGTACATGCAGAGACAAGTTTCAGACATGTTGGGAATCAATAAAAGTCAAATTTTCTTTCAGGGTCATTTAGGGTCGAGCACAAAGGGGCCGGAGCTCTGTGAATTAAGGTCGGTCGCATGATGAAAAAGATAAAAGCTAAAAATGAAGATGAATTCGCTCTCCATCCAGCAGAGAAGAAGATTAATATAACAGGTGAGAATGACATTGGTCAGCGTGTACCCTGACCCGCCATTTCCCGTGAGTCCGAAAGGCTTAATCTTGGTACAAAAGCCAGTGTTGGTTGAAACCGTCTCTTATGCTATCACCATTTAAGGTTGTGTGTATTCATGTATATATGTCTGTACTGTTATATGTGGATATGAATATATATATATGTATATATATATATATATATATATGTATATATATATATATATATATATATATATATATATATATATATATATATATATATATATATATATATATAGACACAGCTGGGCCTTGACTTTAGCGTTCTTTTGCTTAACAATTTTGAGTTTGTTGACAGACTGGAAACCCTCCCCTGGTCCCAGATTAAGCGGTGGGTAAGCCAGGTTTAGAAATCTTTTGTCCTCGCTTTGTATCTCCGCGCCATTCGCACATAAGTCTTTATCACAAAACTTTCTTCACACACAACTAAATGTTTTCTGGTTCCTTTCTGGTAATTGTCTTTTACCTCAGAGTCAGTTATTCAATATTTACCTTTGGGCCATTAAAGCACTGACCTCGGCCGGCTAGCGATGTGCGGTTATCGACCGGCATTTGTCTGGCGTCGCTTTCTGAACAAACACTCCGCCGGCCTCAGGGTAATGTCCCAGTCAACTCCACCTTAACTCGTCCTGAACTGCATGCCCTTGATATGTCCCTCTGGCTTGTCTCTGTTTTTCGTTTGTTCTGTTATTTTCCGTTTTGTTTTTTTGTAATTTTTTTGCCTCTTCGCACTGTTTGACTGGCATGGATATTTCTTAGTGACTTCTCCCTTTTAAACCAGTATTAAGTTATCCATAATTATCGTGATTATTATTGTGATTATATTTAGGAGTCAGAAAGGGATGAGAGGGCATGACTGTTTTTATTGTTTTGGCATTTGCAATTTTTTTCCTGTTCATGTTAGCGATTTCCACTTGAGTTTCTGTAGTCTCTTAACGTCGCTAAGGCAAGGCTCCACTGTGCATATATGCATATACAAAAAAGATCAATATAGATTATCTGTAAAGCAGTTACAAGCTAACCCCTAGTCTCGCATGATAAACTTAGCATAGATATAATGAGCGGTATAAAACTGCCAAGATATACGTCTACATAATGAACCCGTATGTTTAGAGTTGTGTTCAAGATCCAGAAGCGTCCGAGGGGCGTCGAGGCCGGTCGCGTCTTCGGCGGCAGGACCTCAGGAGGGAGAGCCTCTTCAGGTGCCGCTGGAGGGACAGTCAAGGCTGGGGCGGGGGCGGGGTCGCTGTGCAGTCCCGGGGGAGGGGCGTCTCGTCGCCTGCGGGGGGGTCGCTCACATACTCCTTTTGGAGCGGTTCATGCTGTGTGAATGTGCGGTGACTGATATATACATATATATATATATATATATATATATATATATATATATATATATATATATATATATATATATATACTCTACGTATGATTATCACTAATCAATATGATCTGCTCTAATATAAAAATATATTCATGCCTTGGACGATTCAGGGCGCCTCTGACCGGGGACACAGAAGCGGCAAGCGTGCAAGACATTTTCCTCAAAGTCTGATCCACTTTCCTTTCTTAGCAATCATCAACTTAGACTTGATGATAACCTTCTAGGTTTGATTAGTATTTTTCGTACATACGTATATACATATATATAACTTTGCTAAGAGACCCAGACCTCCGAGGTTGCTGGTCAGACCAGGCTAGGGCTGCCGACGCGGCCTCCACATCCCATGATTCCGTATACAGCAAGGCCTCTCCTGCGTGTCCATGATCCTACTGTGTGCTCGTGCAGCAGGGCATCGGGGTCTCAGCATAAACCGAGAGACTATTTGCGTCGGTTTGTTTGTAAAAGAATGCTCTAGATGGAACCCAATGACCAAGAGACACATGCGTCGATGCGAGCGCGCCTGCACTTTCCTCTGGCGGAGGTGGCAGCGAGGGAGTGACATCGGTGATAAACGTTCTGTGAGTTTGGTTGAGTTCAGTTGGCGATGAGTTGCTATGAGTGAGCGAGGCAGCGTGGGCGTGGGCGCCGCCGCGGGTGATTGGGCTCGCTAGTGGAAGTAGTGCGAGGTGCAGCGGGATGCCTGCGGGCGGAGGGCGTGCGGGTTGAGGTACTTCGGGTGGAAGGCGCCCAAGTTGTCCTCGTTGGTGGACGAGTTGCCGGCCCAGGGTGGCGCGGGCGGGCGCGCCAGGCAGTCGGGGCGCGCGCAGCCGCCCCTGCAGGCGAGGCCGCTGGGGAAGCGCAGGTGGGCGGTCAGGAGGCGGTGCACGGAGGCGAGGAAGGCGCGGTTCATGAGCCAGTACACCACGGGGTTGACCGCAGAGTGGGCGTGGCCGAGCGCCAGTGTGGCCTCGAGGGCGTGGCGCGTGGCGGGCGCGTCCCGGCACGCCCACGCCACCAGCGCCACCCCGTAGGGCAGCCAGCAGGCGGCGAAGACGGCGCCCAGTGCTACCAGCAGGCGGGCCAGGCGGCGCCGCGTCTCGACGGAGTGCCCGCGGTACGAGGTGAAGATGGAGGGCGGGTTTGGCGGCCCGCGCAGCCGCATGCGGCGGTGCGCGCGGATGATGGTGTGCACATTGCGCGCCGGCTTCATGGCGGCGGCGGCCCTCGGCGGCGGCTGCGGCCCCCTGCCGCGGCCGGCGTCGCGCGTGGCCTGCAAGGCGGCCTCGCGGACGTCCATGGCGGCGCGCTCGTCCTCCTGCGCGTCCGAGTCCTCCTCACTCGACGCCGCCGCCGCCACGATCTTGTGGTTGTTGGCGCCGCCCACGCTGCAGTCGCGCGCCATGATGATCACCTGCCGGGGCCGCAGGTTCAGCCGGGTGTCCTCCAGGCCGCGGCGCCGCAGCGACGCGGCCACGGCGGCGTGGCACAGCACGACGGCGGCGCAGGGCAGCACGTGCACCACGAGCGCCACGGCGGCGTGGTAGGCGATCCTGGTGGAGGGCGCCGGCCACACCTCGCCGCAGAAGCCCGGCGGCCGCACGCGGGACGCCAGGCCCCGCGGCAGCGCCGCCAGCGCCGCCAGCAGCCACAGCAGCGCCAGCAGGCGGACGGTGAGGGCGGACACGCGCGGAGCCAGCTTGGGGCGGCGGACGGACAGGTAGCGGTCGAGGGCCAGCAGAGCCAGCGACAGCGTGGAGGCGGCGTGGGCGGTGTTCTGCGCGGCGGCCAGCAGGGGGCACAGCACGGGCGGCGCCGTCCACGCCAGGGCCAGCAGGCGCACGGCGGCAGCAGGCAGGCACAAGACGCTGACCAGCAGGTCCGCCAGCGCCAGCGACAGCAGGAGGGAGTGGCGGTGCGACCCCGGCTGCTGCTGGCCGCCCGTCCCGCGCCGCCACACGGACGCCGCCACGGACACGTTGCCCAGCACGCCCACCACGAACACGCCCACCTGTAGCGTGGCCAGGGTCACGGCCGCCCACCCGCTGGAGGGAGCCTGCGGGAGACGCACAGGGGGTTAGGGAGGAATGGGCGCGCTCTCGCTCTTACTCGCGCGCTCTCTCTCTCGCTCTCTATCTATCTACCTCGCTCTTTCTCTCTAAATATATATACACACACGCGTAGATATATATATATATATATATATATATATATATATATATATATATATATATATATATATATATATATATATATGCATGTGTGTATGTGTATACACACACACATGTATATGTATATATATATATGCATGTGTGTATGCATGTGTGTATGTGTATACACACGCACACACACATATATATACATATATATATATATATATATATATATATATATATATATATATATATATGTATATATATATATATATATATATATATATATATATATATATATATATATATACATATGCATGTGTGTATGTGTATACACACACACACACATATATATATATACATATATATTTATATATATATATATATATATATATATATATATATATATATATATATATATGTTATGTGCGTATATATATATATATATATATATATATATATATATATATATATATATATATATATATATATATATATACATATATATATATTCATTTACATTTGTACATATATATAGATTCATCTTTAGACATAGTGTGTTTTCCTGCCGACCCGAGTTGGCTAAGCAAATATCCATCAGTATCCTCTCTTATCTATTTACTTATATGCAAATTACTGAGTTACTATTGTAGAAACAAATTCTCTTGAAGAAATTGATATAAACTGAAATAGATGTAAATCCTTATAGAATAGGAAAAGACAAAGAAGAACACATTAATATATACATACAAGGGTTGACACATATGCTTCAGTTATGTGTGTGTATATGTGTAACATATTAGTAAACTGTGTATGGACCAATGATATGGCAACACTGTTATTATTGTAGACAGAAGTCAGTCGCACTGTCACCACGGAACGGGACGGATGTACGTCACTTCCGAGCCTCGTGTATCTAGTCTCTACTGTCAATATATCACCAAAGGATTTACGCGAGTTTATCTATCCACATCTGATAAGACATTCTGTGGACATCCCACACCCACATGGCGCAGTGAGTTTCAGTGAAAAGACAGTAAAGAGAGGAACCGGCAGTGTGACTCAGCCATGCAGCGTCCTCGTGTTCAGTGACTACCCTCATGTTGTGAAGTGTCTGAGTGACTTGTGTGGTGTTAGTGAAGTGCAGTGATCTCTCGTGGTGTAGTATGTGCAGGGAATACAGCTGTCATTCAATTCCCCCGCATTTTTGGTCATTTTGGCCAGAGCTACGCTCTACATCACCACGCATCCTGTCTGCAGCGGCACTGGCCCTCTCGCCGCACCACACCGCCCGAGAGAAGAAGCTCCGCCCCTTCGTGACGTCGAGCCCCAGGATTGGCCGACCGTGCCCAACAGCTCTGACGTCGCAGCGTCCGTCTGCGAGGCGCCACGAGGAAACTCCGAACCACCAGACACGTAAAATATACTTCATATAAACCGAAATGCCTAAAAAGACGAAAACAGCGGCTAAACAAGAGGAAGTCACGCCGTCTCCCTCTTCGACATCGCCACCAGAAGCGCAGCCACCCATGGATGTACTATCGCAAATGATGGAAATCTGGCGGCATGAGGCGGAGGAGAGGAAACAGGCGGAAAAACAACGTCGACAAGAAGACGAGGAACGACGACGCGAGGAAGATCGTCGACGACAAGAAGACGAGGAACGACGTCGAGAGGAAGATCGCCGACGACAAGAAGACGAGGAACGCCGACGACAAGAGGAAGACAGGCGAAGACAGGAGGAAGACAGACGTAGAAGAGAGGACGACGAGCAGAGAAGGAAGGCTGAGGAACAACGATTCTTGCAGCTGATTGCTACCCTCACCACGTCTCCCACTCCCCCGCAGACTGTAGGACCACAGCCTGCTGTCGCCACGGACCTTCCGACTTCGGCGCCTTCGTCAGATACTCCAGCAATGAAGGCTTCAGTCCAGCCTCCCCCACCCCTCGCCCAAGATGTTACTCTGCGGTCGTACAAAGAATGGCGACAACGCTGGGATGATTATGCTGTCATGATTGACCTGCATAACCTGCCTCAGCATAAGCAATTAATACACTTGCGTGCGTGCTTATCTGCTGACATGAGAGGAACACTGGAGCACAGTTTAGGCGTGTCTCCAGCTTCAGATCTGCCTCTCAGGGATGTCCTCCAGCGAATCCGGAACTTCGTTCGAGACCAAAAGAATGAGGCTTTACGACGTCTCACGTTTTCCCAGTGCAGGCAGGCCCACAATGAGAAATTTACAGATTTTTATGTACGCCTAAAGCAAGCTGCAAACGATGTGGATCTGTGTAAAGGACATAGCAATGCTTGTATCGAGACCCAAATCAAGCATGCCATCTTGATAGGTGTTAAAGATGAAGAGACCAAACAACGCCTGTTAGAGATGAAGTCCGACGCCACCCTCGATGACGTAATAACTGTGTGTAGATCTCGTGAGGCTGCCGAGTCTACCACCCAAGAATTACGCCCATTGCAACCAGCTACACGTGCATTGTCTGTTTATAAGCAGCAAAAGCGGCGAGCTGCCAAGGGTAACACTGAAGGACCCTACCGAAAAGCCAACAGTCGCCCTGCTAAGTCTCCACAACCACAGCCAAAAGAACTTTGTGACCATTGTGGATACAGGACACATGTCAAGAAGAAGTGCCCTGCTTCTACTAGCACCTGCCGTACCTGTGGCAAAATAGGTCACTTCGCCAGCCGTTGTCAGTCATCAAAGAAGAAAAGGATGCCACCCACAGAAGGTAATGTTCTTTCAGTTTCCCAAGTTTCGCACAACATAGCCAAGGTCTGCGCAGTTGAAACTGAATCCCGTGTAGGCCCTGCATCTCCGACGATTAGATTGTTAGTGCAGTCAGGAGACTCTTCAGCATATATAGACTGCATACCTGACACAGGATCTGACACAACCGTGATGGATGTTACCCTTCTCAAGTCTCTAGGATTAACCACAGACAACCTGGACAAATCTACAAACTTCGGGCTGCATAATCCTGATGGATCGCATATGAACTGTACTGTCCTTGGATCATTATATGCAAGCATGACGTATGGTACAGTCACCATACAGGGTTGGATAAATGTGTTGAGTTCTTTACCACGACCTCTGCTGTCTTGGAGCCACACACAACAGCTACAAATTATCCCCAAAGACTACCCACGACAGATCCTAGGCAGAAAGCATGGTAAACGCTTTCCCAGTGAAAACCTGCAAACAGTTCAACCTGGAGAGGTAGCAAGAATTGTTACAACTCCCACAGTTATGCCTGATCACCATTCAGTGACACCCCAGGAGGCCACAGGCCAACAGCCAGCTCCACCTCAACCATCACAACAGTTCCTGTTACATCCACCAAGACCTCCTCCATTCTCAGCATCCCCTGATGAAGCGAAAAAGTTTTTCCTTCGAGAATTTCCAGACGTTCTCATGACGAAGGAAGATTTCCGACAGGGTATGAAGCTCAAGGAGATGTGTGGACCCCCTATGAGGATCTTCATAAAGGAAAATGCCAAACCATTCGCAGTGCACACGCCCCGTGTCATTCCCCTTGCCTGGCGGGATGACGTCAAGACAGAGTTGGACTCCATGGTGGCTCAGGGCATCATTACTCCTGCAGGTGATGAACCATCACAATGGTGTCACCCCTTAGTGGCTGTAGCTAAGCCTAATGGAGGAGTCAGGATCACTGTTGACCTCACTAAACTCAACAGTCAAGTGCTACGCCCTGCCCATCCCTCACCAACGCCTCATGATGCTGTTCGTCGTATCAACCCTAAGGCGAGGTACTTTTCCACCTTGGATGCCTTATATGGCTATTGGCAAATACCTTTAGAAGAGCAAGATCAACACTTAACAACATTCATCACCCCTTATGGTCGCTTCCGCTTTTGTCGTGGACCCATGGGCTTTGCAGCCACAGGTGATGAATACTGTCGTCGAGGTGACATAGCACTCGACGGAATACAACAGTGTGTGAAGGTGGTAGATGACGTCCTTCTATGGGATGAGGACTATACATCTCACCTTAAGCGAGTACAGGAAGTTCTTATGAGATGCCGTGCACATCGCATTACCATGAACGCTGACAAGTTTGTGCTCGCAGCCCCAGAAGTGTCATTCTGTGGATATACCCTGTCAGGAAATGGAATTGCAGCTGAGGAAGAGAAAGTTCGTGCCATTGCCGAATTCCCAAAGCCAGCTAACCTGACAGACCTCCGATCATTTATGGGCTTGGTGAACCAATTGGCTGAATTCACCCCTGCAATTGCCGAGTCTGCTGATGTTTTACGCCCTCTTATGAGTCCCAAGCGTACTTTCACATGGACTCCTGACCATGATGCAGCATTCAGCCGTGTGAAGAAAGCTCTCTCACAACCACCTGTTCTCGCCCATTTCGACCCAGCACTCAAGACCATACTTCAGACAGATGCTTCCCGTCTCTATGGTGTAGGCTATGCACTGTTGCAAGAACATAAGCCTGGAGAATGGCGATTAGTGCAATGTGGTTCCCGGTTTCTAGCAGATGTGGAGACGAGATATGCCACAATTGAGTTGGAATTAGTGGCTGCAGTATGGGCTATGATGAAGTGCAAATATTACCTGCTTGGTTTGCCCCACTTCACCCTGATGACAGACCATAGACCTCTGGTGCCCATACTTAACTCGTACACATTAGATGCTATTGATAACCCCCGACTCCAACGCCTGAAAGAGAAGATAGCAGGTTATGTCTTCACAGCTACATGGCGTAAAGGAAAGGAACTCTCAATCCCAGATGCCCTTTCCCGTGCTCCTGTGGATTCACCATCCCCTGAAGATATCGCTCTTAGTGATGACACACGTCACTATGTCAGATGTGTAGTCACTCAGCGTATGGCCACTCTGAGCACAGTATCAGGGACAATACAGACAAGTGACTTGGTGCTTGATAAGATGCGAGCAGCAGCACGCGAAGATCCGGTATATGTCAAGCTCCTCGACAAAGTGACTCATGGTTTCCCTGCCAACCGTGACATTTTGGACCCTGACCTACTTCCATATTGGAAGGAACGTGACAATTTGTACCACGATGAGGACCTCATCCTTTTGGGACCCCGCATTGTAGTTCCTTCTACCCTTCGCCGAGAAGTGTTGGCTCGCTTACACGACAGTCACCGTGGCGTGGAGGCCACAAAACGTCGTGCCCGACAGACTGTATGGTGGCCTGGTATCAATTCAGATATCACAAATGCAGTCAGATCATGTGAGCCTTGCCAAGTACTTATGCCAAGTCAGCAACAAGAGCCCATGCTGACAGAAGAAGCACCCACCAAACCCTTTGAGTCTGTGTCAGCTGACTTTTTCAGTGCAGCGGGGAAGTCTTTCCTTGTTTACGTTGACCGACTCTCAGGATGGCCTGTGATAGCATGCTGTGGCACTGACACTACAGCTGCCGCCACTATAAGTTTCTTCAGAAGATTCTTCCGCGACCTAGGTGTACCTCTTCGGCTGCGCACTGATGGTGGACCACAGTTTTCGAGCCGAGATTTTAATGACTTTCTGTGTCGATGGGGTGTTCGCCATGATACATCCTCTCCCCATTATCCACAGAGTAATGGTCATGCAGAAGCTGCAGTGAAGGCTTTGAAACACCTAGTTTTGAAGGTCGCCCCTTCTGGTATCCTGAATGAAGCTTTCGACCGTGGATTGTTGGAACTCCGTAACACACCACGTCAGGATGGCCGTTCCCCTGCGCAAGTTTTGTTTGGCCACCCTCTACGTTCCCGTGTTCCAGCCCACAGCTCATCTTTTGCTCCAGAATGGCAAGCAAGGACAGAAGAGTGTGATCGCCGTGCAGCTATGAGGACACAAGCCGCTAAGGCATTATACGACTCGCATGCCAGACCATTACAGCCACTGCAGATTGGATCGCAAGTCCGGATACAAGATCCTGTCTCCAGACGATGGAATAAAGTAGCTGTAGTCATGGGAATTGGTCGGAGCCGCGACTACCTTCTCCGGACGC